TTTTTTTTTTTTTTTTTTTTTTTTCCTTTGTTCCTTTAACCTGATCTCAGGCTCCCTAGATAGTTTACCTGTGGGAACACTTTGAAGTCTGGAAATTGCATATACCTTTGCCACTCACCTAGGGGCACAATCAACTGAGGTTATTTAAATGATCAGGTTATTTATTTTTTTGGCTTACATAGGTAGTATGATTTCAGGTAACAAACCTGTATGGGTACTTGCCTGTGGGTACCAATTCCAAAGGGAAATTACTATTTTTTATTCCAGTGCCAAATTCAAACTTTGTAAATTTCCTGTCTGTGTCCTACTGTGGCATTAAGTTTTATTCACCCTTATAATGAAGATGTAGCCCTTCTAATTTCCAATTTTAGATAGGAAGATACTAAACCTTTGTTGTACGTGCTTCTATGTCTTATTCTGACCTCTGTGATCCTCACATCCTATGAAAATGTAAAGTTAAGGTGACCAGATTCTGTCTATAACCTCACGTGAAAGCTACCTTTAATGACTGCTTACTTTCAAGGACACTTGCTTCCACTTTATTGTTGGCCTCTGCCAATTCCATACTGTGTTCTCAGTTCATTATTTTGGCAGAGTATCATTTACAGTGTTTGTTCTGTTGCAGAAAAGGAGAAGTCTCCTTTGATATTCTAATTGCCAAATCTACTGACTTCTTTTTTTTGGTTCTCACTCTTCATGACTCTTTACAAAGAGTCATATTCTTCCCCAAAAATGTTTTCTAAAACTTTCTAAAACAGCAATTTCTTATAATTCTTCCTATTAATTATGTTTATTGGGGTGACATTGGTTTACCAAATAGGTTTCAGGTGTAAAACTCAACAAAATATCATCTGCACACTGCATCATGCCCCTATCACTCAAATTCAAGTCCCTTTCTGTCCCCATTTATCCCCACTTTGTCCACCTCAACCTATCCCCACCCCCCTTTCCCTCTGGCTATCACCACACTGTTGTCTGTATCTATGTGTTATAAATGTATGTATTTTCTTAAATGATCATTTTATTCTAGGTTAGGGCTCACAAACGCAAATGCTTTCAGGGGATTCTTCCCTGCATAACACAGTATTTCTCTTTGAAGAGGTGTGCAAAATATACAGACATTTGCTTTCCATAATTTGGGGATTGCTTTGAGAATGAGTGCTAAGGCATATTTTCTTAACATTTTTTTTTGGTCTGTTACCCAGAGGCTTAAGTCTTGCTCATGTGACATACTCTTTGTGACCGGTGAAGGGCTAAGGGAATGAGGCAGGAAGCCCATGCTTGTGGGGCTCTGTGATGACAGGGAGGGATGAAGTGATCAAGTTCTCAAGCTAGTTCAAACTCCTGTCAGGAAGAAAAGGGAGGAGACACAGATGTAAGAAAACTGCAGAGGACAGGCCTGGAACGAGGAGGAAATGAATTACTTGTAAGTATGTCAGGGGCATACAGAGTTTTTCTTCTTTCTGGAAAATCTTATTTGCCTGCTCAGGATCTTTAAGTTAAGGAAGAGTAGCCACAGCATAAAACCTTTCCTGAATGAAATTGTCAGCCTCTCTCAAGAACTCAAAATTCCTCTCCATTCTTCCCTCTCATCACCACTATAAAGTGCAACAACATCAAGGGGTAGTACTTTTAAAGATAGTAAAAGTCTAAGGTCAAATATATTTTTGATATAATGTATTCTAACTTTCCGAGGCTAGCCCTTTTAAGAAGAAAGTTGCTGTTTTGTTTTTAATTAGTCTCTCTCTTTCTCTGTTTCCAACAAATGAGTCTCAGGAACAAATGTTCCTAAAATTTCCAAGCTCTTGTGCAAAACAGATTTCCTGAGTCATGTGACAGCTGAGCTACAGGATGGAGAGGAGGAATCTTGTCAAAGGACTGACATATATCAGGGACAGTCCCATTACTTCAACATGAAGACCCCACTCCAACATGCCTGCAGTAATATCACAGGCACTCAAAGTAATTTTTATTGACTGACATCAAATTCAGGATTTTCCCAAACCTGGAACTTACTTGTCTACTAATGTCCTCAGTTATTTATCTATACTTACTATATACAGCATCCATCAAGAGACTCAGAATGCCTGAAAGGTAGTTGAACATCACAAGTTTGATGTAGGCAGAAGAACTTTTAGAAAACAGGAAGCTCAGCAGATACATGAGGGGAACGGCAGACCAGCCGTACAGCATGAAGACCAGCATTGTGTCCAGGAAGTGGTAATCTGTGAGATACACGTTGAATTTGCAGATTTTGAACACTCCCTGAAACACAGGATACGGAGATAAAGGAGAGTGGCACCTAAGTGCAAAAATAATTCAAACCCAAACATTTAGAAAAGGAAATAGCAAGTCCTGTCCTTATGTAGCATAGAAGTACTCATTGATTACATCATTTTGCTTCTTTTTAAAGAAAGCCCTCCTCCAGAGGGCAGTCCAGAGAGCAGAACTGCTATAATTCCCTTTATTACTATTACTTTTCACTTGGAAACTTTTTCTTTTTTTTAATTCATAAACAAAGTCAGTATCTTCTCCCCAAATAATTCTAATTCTCAACTTCCCCGGAAAACAGACTATTTCTGTAGAGATTTTTACTCTTGACGACACACCTTACCCATCTCCGCTGCCCACCTTCAGACTGGGTCTCCTGTTCTATTCTACTACCACACTCCCATCACATCCACTTCAGCAACTTTGGGATTTCTTTAGAAATTTCCTATTCTTGTTAGTACTTTTCCTTGTTAGCAAAGTGGTATTCTTATTCTCATTTTACAAATCAGTTAAGTGGTTCACCTAACGTAGCACTAGAGTGGCACACTCAGTTAGCCAGAGTTGTTGCCTCCAGATTTTATATAGTGTTTACATTTTGTCGCATAACTCATTGTACAGAATAATTACATGTAGCAACAATAGGCTTTCCTTAGTATCCTTGTCTATCTTTTTAAAATTAAATTTATTAGGGTGACATTGGTTAATAATATTATACAGGTATCAAGTATACATTTCTATGATATGTCATCTGTATGTTGTACTGTGTGCCCACCACCCAAAATCAAATCATCAGCATATATTTGGCTCCCTTTGACGTTTACTAAGCTCCCACCCCTTGCCTCTAGTAACCACCATACTGTTATCTGTGTCTATGAGTTTCAGTTTTATATCCCACATATGAGTGAAATCATATGGTTCTTAGCTTTTTCTGTCTGCCTTATTTTGCTTAGCATGATATTCTCAAGATCCATCCATTTTGTTGCAAATGGCAGTATTTCATCTTTTCTTATGGCTGAGTAGTATTCCATATCTATCTACCAGAAATATTTGAAAACATTTATTAAAAAAAGATGTATGTACCCCTATACTCACTGAAACATTATTCATAGTGGCCAAGACAGGGAAACAACTAAAGTGTCCTTTAATAGATACTTGGATAAAGAAGATGTGGGTAGATACCCAGTAGAGGGATTGCTGGGTCATATGGTAACTATATACTTAATTTTCAAGGTGCCTCCATACTGATTCCCATAGTGGCTGAACCAGTCTACATTCCCACCAGCAGTGAATGAGAGTTTCGTTTTCTCCACAGCCTCTCCAACACTCGCTATTACTTGTCTTGTTGATATGAGCCATTCTAACAGGTGTGAGGTGGTGTCTCATTGTAGTTGTGATTTGCATCTCCCTAAGAGCTAGTGAACTTGAGCATCTTTTCATATATTTGTTGGCCATTTGTATGTCTTCTTGGGAGAATGTCTATTCGGTGTCTCTGCCCATTTTTTAATTGGATTTTTTTGTTATTTGGTGCTAAGATATATGAGGTCTTTATATATTTTGGATATTAACCCCTTGTTAGCGCTGTTGCTTGCGAATATCTTCCCCTATTTTGTTGGCTGTCTTTTTGTTTTGTTGGCGGTTTCTTGTGCCGTGCAGAAGCTTTTTTGTTTGATGTAGTCCCATTTATTATTTTTGTCTTTACTTCCCTTGCCTTTGGGGTCAACTTCATAAAATCTCCTCTAAGACCAAGGTTCATAAGTGTAGTACCTATGTTTTCTTCCATGTAATTTATTGTTTCAGATTTTATATTAAGGTGTTTCATTCACTTGAATAAATTTTTGTACATGGGGACAAACTATAGTCTAGTTTCATTCTTTTGCATGTGTCTTTCCAATTTCTGAGCACCATTTGTTTTAGAGGTTTCCCTTACTCCATCATATGTTTTTGGTCCCTTTGTCAAAAATTATTTGCCAATATACATGTGGTTTTATTTCTGGACTCCCAAATCTGTTACATTGGTTTGTGTATTTTTTTTTTGCCAATAACATGCTTTTTTGATTGTCACTTTGCAGTATAATTTGAAATCAAGTAGTGTCATACCTCTGGCTTCATTCTTTTTTCTCAGGATTACTTTGACTATTTGGGGGTCTTTTGTGGATGTATTCAAATCTGATGATTATTTTGTTCTATTTCTTTTAAAAATGGAATTGGTATTTTGATGGGGATGCATTAAATCTGTATATCGGTTTGGTAATGTGACCATTTTAATTATGTTGATCTTCCAATCCATGAACATAGAATATCTTTTCATTTCATTCTGTTTTTTTCAATCTCCTTTAATAATGCTTTGTAGTTTTCAGTATACAGGCCCTACGCATACTTTGTTAAGCTTACTTCTATGGCAAGGAAAGATGGCGGCACTGTGAGAAGCAGCAGAGCGCCCCCGCTCCCAGCCACAAACTCGATTGACTCCTAAAATCCTATGTAGCCAGCTTGGAAAAACCAGAGAAACATACCTGAGTGGACATAGTGCGAATAGGGAGCACTGAAGAAACATCAGAGAGTCTGGTAAGAGAGGGGGGCGTAGAAAAGGGGAGTCCCCCTGAAGCCTGTGCTGGTCTCTGAGCCCAGAGGGTTGGAGGCTGCAGGGCTCCCTTCCCTCAGGAGTGCAGACTGGCATCCAAAAGTGGGGATCTCAAACCCAGAGTGGACGAGAGGGGAAGGAGAGCCCTGCACAGAGGGCAGAGGGATCCATGGGAGCAGTGAGTCCGCGAGGAGGGGATGGTGCCTTCCTAGGAAACAAAGCTTCTAGTGGCGGACGTGACAGGTGTCTTATGCTCAGGGTGCCATCCATAGGAAAGGCTGTCTCAAAGTGTGGTACCCTAGTGGTAAGGGACCAGAGCACTGTGCTGAGCAGCTGCACACAGGGACCCTCTGCCTCCCTGTAGGGCATTGTGTTGAGCCCCAGAAATCATTGAATCTGTGTGGCATGGGGGATGCCCTGAGCTCCCAGTGCTGAGAGGCTGGGATCTGTGACCAGCCCTGAAGGGCTCTGTGGTGGCGCATGGAGCCACCCCAGCTTTGCTGAGATTAGCAATTTTGCCTTGGTGCGCGGGCAGCAGGACCTTGCAAGGTGGACTCTCTGCCTGTGTGTTGCTTTGTGCATTTGTGAGTCTGATTGAGGAACTGGCTTCCACCTTCCTGATGTGCACTGAGCGGACAGACTAGTGGTGTCTGCATAGTGGACTGTTTGAGGGGCGCTCTTGGTGCGACCAGCCAACCATAGCTGAGAAGGGAGGGGTGAAGCCCACCGACCTCTCCTGTAGCCTGGAAGCACCACCCCCAAGAGGAAAGGGGCTGGTCCAGATCACTGAGGCCCCAGACACACCTGCAGGGCACAGTCCTGAGGGGGAAGGGAGAACAGCTCACAGGAGGACATTACAAGAACAAGACTCTCAGGGACTGTTGTTTGGGAACTGGAGGAAATGCTGAAAACCCCTGCTGGGGGCTGCGCAGGCAAAGGGCTCACTGGAATATTTTTAAATCAAACCCATTGAGCCCAGACTGCTGAAATGGCCCATACAGAAAAGGCAACAGGCTGAAATCAATCTGAAGCTGCAGCAGGCCAGAGTATGGGGAACTAGAATCAGAGGAAAGGGTAGGGACTGAGGAGCTGGTTGTGGAGCAGAGACTAACTCCTGCACAGTGAGTGCCTTACAGCGACACCTCTAGGGGGAGTGATACCCTGGGCTACACTTGCCATCCTGCACCCTAAAGACTACAGAAGACTCTGGAGCAAGACCAGGCAACTACAAAGTTGCAAAATAGCTGATAAGAGGAGGTGGCCCACAGAGAGCCTCTGATCATCCATCTACCTAAGGTCACCAGAGCCAAACCTGGACGCTCCTCACATTGGCTGATACATGAGTACCTCCCAGGAGAATGGAAATCAGCACACAAAACAGAGCCTCAGACAACACCAGCTGCCCAGAAGAAACTCAACCGATTGACTTTTTTTCTTCTGTTGTTTTTTTGTTTTGTTTTTCTTTTGTTTGTGTGTTTGTTTTTTCTCTTTTTCCCTTAGGAAGAAGAGAAAGGGGGAAAAATTATTTGTTTTTTTTCTTCTTTTTTAAATTTTATAATTAAAATTTATTTAAAAAACATTTTTAACTAAATTTTTTTTAAAAAGAATTTTGTCTTGCTTAGCTTTTTTTTAGTTTTGTTTCTCTGTTTTTGTGTTTTTTTTTATTTGCTTTGTTTTGTTTTATCCTTGGTTCTACTATCAAGACTTTCTTGATATCCCTGCTTAACGACTGGGACTTTATCATTATAATCAAGTTTACTGCTTTTCTCTATAGTTTCTCCCAAATCTCTTACCAGACTCTCTCCCTGTCTAGGCTTTATCTCTCTCTTTCCTCTCGATCCATTGTCATAATTTTTTTTCCTTCCTTTCTCTTTTCCTTCTTTTCTTTCATTCTTTGGTTATAGTCTATTTCTGTCTTCCTATCTTTTTATTCGAATGTTAGTTTTTCTTATTCTCTTTATTGTATTTTTACTTTCTGATTTTCAACTATTATCCTGTTCCTATTCTCTCCCTTAATTTTTGCTAGCCCTTCTTTCAGAATCTTTTCTCTGCGTTGGTTATCTTCCAGTAGCTTCTCTATTTTTTACATTTTAGTTTTTTATTATTTTATAAATTTTCATCACTGTTAACAACAATATGCATCTCTCTCTCTAAGCATTACTTTTCTTTCTCTCTCTCTCTCTATTTTGTGTGTGTGTGTGTGTGTGTGTGTGTTCTCCCTTCACTCTCCCAGTTCTATTTTCACTTGGGTTGTTTTCATTGTGACTGTCAAGATATTTTGTAAGATACCCCTTGTTTCCTGGAAGTTTAGTTGTGTATTGTCCTGCCTAGACAGCACCTGTACAACAGCTTACACAATGAGGTTGGGGCTGAGACACAGTTAGCCAACCTGAGAGAAGAGTCCTCCCA